GCCGATAGACTAAGCCGACGTGGATGGCCAAATTGCGGTCTTTGCCCTCTTTGCAAGCAAGCTCCTGAGTCCGTTGTGCACCTTCTCGCCCAATGCCGCTTCACGACCCGTATCTGGACCGAGATCGCCAACTGGCTTGGCCTCCTGAATTTCTCTACTTTGGCTTGGGCAAATGCCACCTCATTGAGAGGTTGGTGGACTGATACAGTGAACAATACAAGACCGCACTGAAAGGCTCTCACTTCGTTGATGATGTTGGTATCTTGGGAGATTTGGAATGAAAGGCTCTCACTTCGTTGATGATGTTGGTATCTTGGGAGATTTGGAAGGAAAGCAATACGAGAGTTTTTCGAAACACCGCCGCACCCACCATGTTAATTGTCGGGAGGATCAAGGAAGAGGCCCATCTTTGGGCTCTAGCGGGTGCGAAATACTTGAGTAATGTAATGCCGCGAGAGTAGTTGTTTTCTTCCCTGTGTTACGGGCATAAGCGTAAACCTTCTTTCTTAATCAATGAAAATGGCAAATGTTTTGGCTTGTTTCAAAAAAAAAAATAGACATAGACTAAAGCATTCTTTTTTTTAAACGGAGACAAGAAAAATTGTCTCGTCGATTGGTCAAGCATGAGAGAATTATCTAATTAATTAACAAAAGCCGATATAAACATACCACATGTGGATTGCTTGAAAGCTTGACGTCTCATGATCGCATGGTAGCGCACCTGATTTTATTTTTTCTGCAGGCACACATCGTCTTTGCTGAACACTAAAATGGCCATTGCTAACAAGCAGCGGCAGCGTGTATAGGAGACTAGACACTGAAATCTATGAACATGAAATGTAAACTACTGCCTCGTTTCCGAACTATAACATGTTTTACTCCCTTCGTTCCTAAATATTTGTCTTTTTAGAAATTTCAACAAATGACTATATATATATATATATATATAGCAAAATGAGTGAATCTTTATTTTAAAATATATCTATATACATCCGTGTGTGGTAATCCATTTGAAATTTCTAAAAAGACAAATATTTAGGAACAGAGGGAGTACATATTTCAACATGCACTACATACGGACTGAAATGAATAAACAGAAACTAAAAAAGTTAGAACATCTTATAATTTGGAACGGATGCGGTAGCTAGCTTTGAAGAGACGAGTGTGGAAAATTCAAAGCGAAAAAGTTCATAATTTGGACGCACGTCCTCTGTAGAGGGCAATTTCAAACTTTCTGTAAAACCATTTTATGCCACGTCACATAAATGGCAAACGGCGAGGTGTTTGTAAAGCGCTTAACAGTGACCACCACTGTTGCGTCTTGTTGTACTTGCTGACACGAATAGACAGAATTAGAGATCCAGTCAAAGAGACTGTGCTCGCGGACCCCCGAGCCTCCAGCAGCACGATCATAAGGTGTAATGGTCACTTAAGTACGACTTACTCCGTGGCCACTGTGCGCCCGCGTGGTGGTCACACCGGGCTCAAGTATGTATACGGCACTGTGGCCTGATCTTGTCCGTTGTTACCGTGGCCCGCGTGCAGGGCCCCCGCCCTCTGTCAACGTTAGAAAAAAGGAGCTTAAAGTCAACCCAAGCCTTGCGCAGGCTATCTGATGGTGGTGGTGCGTTGGCGCAGTACTGTGCTGTCATGTAGCAGCAGCAGCAGCAGCAGCTAGGGCATGCTGCTATGTGAAACGACGCCTTTCA